ACTTCAGTGTCTGACTCACATTTTGTTCCCACATCTTTTCACATTTGATAGTTGCAAGCTAAGAGTTTTAAATGTTCCTCAAATAGTTGATGTCTACATTTATTTTAAGAATTATGTTTGAAACTACAGAGCTAAAAACTAAAACACGTACTCCAAACTTTTTTTAGCGTATTATGGGGGTACAAGTGTTAAGGTTACATATATTGCCCATGCCCCCTCCCCCCTCGAGTAAGAGCTTCAAGCATGTCCATCCCCAAACATTGCACAACTCACTCATTGTGTTTGTATGTACCCATCCCCTCCTGCCCCCTCCCACCCTCCTGACACCTGATAAATGTTATTCCTATATGTCCACTTAGGTGTTGATCCGTTAATACCAATTTGCTGGTGAGTACATGTGGTGCTTGTTTTTCCATTCTTGAGATACTTCACTTAGTAGAATGGGTTCCAGCTATATCCAAGAATATACAAGAGGTGCTATATCACCATTGTTTCTTAAAGCTGAGTAGTACTCCATGGTATACATATACCACAGTTTATTAATCCACTCATGAATTGATGGGCACTTGGGTTGTTTCCACAGCTTTGCAATTGTGAATTGTGCTGCTATAAACATTTGAGTGTATGTGTCTTTTTCATAAAGTGACTTTTGATCTTTTGGGTAGATGCCCAGTAGTGGAATTGCTGGATCAAATGGTAAATCTATTGTATCGCTTTGAAGTATCTTCATATGCTTTCCACAGAGGTTGAACTAGTTTGCAGTCCCACCAGCAGTGTAGGAGTGTTCCTCTCTCTCCGCATCCACGCCAGCATTTGTTGTTTGGGGACTTTTTGATAAAGGCCATTCTCAGTGGAGTTAAGTGATATCTCATTGTGGTTTTGATTTGCATTTCTCTTATGATTAGAGATGCTGAACATTTTTTCATATGTTTGTTGGCCATTATTCCTTTTTCTTTTGAGAAGTTTCTGTTCATGTCCTTTGCCCATTTTTTGATAGGGTTGTTTGATTTTTTCTTGCTAATTTTCCTGAGTTCTAAATAGATTCTAGTTATCAGCCCTTTATCAGATGTGTAGCTTGCAAAATTTTCTCCCATTCTGTGGGTTGTCTGTTTGCTCTCTTGAGAGTTTCTTTCAAACTTTAAAAATAAAATAATCATAAAAGTTCACAATTGTGTCCACTTCAATGTCCATAAACTACTAAAAGACAGGCAGATCACATGCTCAGATACTTCCCCAGGTTCTGAGTCTGTCCTGCTGTGCCAGGCGGCACCTCCTGTGTTGGCACTGACAGTCTACCTGAGCACAAGTCACCCGCAGAATACTCTAAATAATTCTAAACACCTTTAGCCATTAAAATCCATCATGTTCCCTTTTCTTTCCTAACATGCATTCCGATTATTCCAAAGTCATGTGGGGTTTGCAAGGGTGTGATTTAGACTGGTACGAAATGAAGCTTATATGAAAACTGGTTAAGGATTCAAAGCACATTAGCTCTGAAATATTGATCTCAACACCCAGACATGAATGGGAGGTATGATTTGCACAGAAATACTTTGCTTGCAGCATGTTCTTCACGACCTTGCACGCGTTTAGCTGCTTGCGGGGCACACGGGCATCCTCTTCGCCACGTCCTAGACGTAGGTGATGCCGGTCGCTTCTCTGGATGTGGGTTGATGCACGTCAGCCAGCTGTCGTAGCTCCTCTGAACAGTGACCTGAAGGAAGAGGGGGTAGTCACTCTGCTCTATCTTCTTGTACAGCGAGTACAAGTTCATTTTGTCCCCATAGAAGGGACTCTGCAATGCGGCCGTCTCATACAGTAGACAGCCAAGAGACCAGATGTCAGATTTGAAGTTGTGTCCATTTTCATGTATTCTCTCTGGAGACGTGCAATAAGGAGTACCCACTAAAGAATGTGCCGCTGTGGTTTTGGAGCTGAAAAACCGGCCAAGTCCAAGATCCCCAAGTTTCACCACCCCGGGGGCTGTGATGAACACATTCGCTGGTTTTATGTCTCTGTGTGTGACTCTCGGAGAATGCATGGGTTCCAAGGTGCTGCAGAGCTGGACAAAGTACTGCCAAACAAACGGCTCTTTCAGGAATTAGCCTCTTCTGCTTCTTAAAATGCTTTATCATTCTGGATAGATCACCAGCATCTGCTCATTCCAAAACTATGTTTAGTTCATTGTCTTCCATGAATGATGCATAATATTTAATTACATTTGGATGGTTGAGTTGCTTAAGTAAGAGACCTATTTCTTTGATGCAATCAGCACGTGCTTTCCCATCCATTAAATCAAATATCTGCACTTTTTAATTTTTATTTATTTATTTATTTAATTTTATAATTCCTCTTTTATTCTTCTTCTGCAGGAGAAATTAACAAGTAGAGTGTAACCAAAAAACTGGGTGACTGCATCACACTGCTTTACACAAGCTGCCTGTGCTTCAAGAACAGATTTAAAGCAGACCACACGCTTTCAACTTTGTGTATTTAGGAGGCAATTACAACCTCCAAACACTGAAAGGAAAGAAAAAAATAACACAGAGCATTTTTTTCTTTAACAATTACAACACATTTCAACCATTCACTAGGTTCTTAGGTCAGATTGCAAACCAAAAGCTCACATCTACCTAAGATTGCTCGGCTGAGATCACTATTCTGAAAGCTTTCCAAAAACTTGAGAAGCTTCTCTAAGGTCAACTCAAGCAAGACATTTAAATGTATCATCCAGTATCAGTGCTCAGACGTCATCAACCTCCGTGTCCTTTAACTGTATGGCAATAAACATTTAAAATTCCAAATCCTACATTTTTGGAAGATGTTCCAGAAATCTGCACTTTTTAAAAAGCTACTGGTACCCATCCAAGAGACAGGCTGCCCTATAAACTTCACTAAATTGTCCACAACCAATTTTATTTTCTATTAGAAAGTTGGCTAATGTGTTATAGCCCGTGTCCGGTCGTACGGAACCCTCTGTGGCTGGAACTAAGGGACTGGCTGCCCTTGCGTTCCTTGTGATGGCTCATCCATCTTCTGAAGCAGGAGGAACTTTAAAACTCAGGAAGTTGGGAGATTTCCCAGGCGCAGGCTCCCACCCAGTGTGTGGCCAGGCGCGTCCGAGCACGAGCCTAGCGCGGTCCATCCTCCTGGTGCCACCAACAGGAGGGTAAACTAAATTTTCAAATTTGTATTTCGAGGGGGCTGAATGGAGCCCCTGGCACCTAGATCCCGACTGTCTAGTGCAGTTGGCTGTGGCCCCAGGCGTATACTATTCCCTACTGATAATTTGGGAGTAAGATGCTGCACTCGACGCAGGTGTGCTGGCTGGGGAAGTCGGAAACAAGCCCCGGGGTCGCTCTTCTGCAGAGAACAAGAATGTGGCACGTGGGATCGAGTGGCCACGTGGGCACCACTCCTCCCAGCAGCTGGGGGTCAGCACTGTGTGTGGCTCGCACAGGTTGGAAGACTGCTGGGCCACCCCTAGAAATTGGATTGATCTTGCCAATGATCTTCAAGGGAACGTACGCCTGAAGACGCTAACGCTAAGGAAAAGTTTGCTGGAGAACTTTGGGCACAGCCTGGAGAAGCTGTTGTAAGTCTCCTTTTTGCAGCAGTTTTCGTTGTTGTTCAGATTCAGCTCCTGTGCTAGAAGTTTCTAGGGGACGGTACATATGTTGGAACAAACATAAGCCTTGATTGACATAATTGCACAGATAGGTCAATAAGAGTCCAGCCAAGAGAGAATGGGAAATAAATACCTACATGAAGGTGCATGTCAATATTTAAACCTGATATCCTAGAATGCATTGTCACAATGAGCCCTGGGCATCCACCGCGCGGTTTGCGAGGTCGAACGTCGTCAGTTCTGTTTTCTCTCCTCGCTGAGCTTGTCGACCCTGCTCTCACCATGATAACCATCTTGCACTGAAGTGATCAGACTCCTTAATGTTATTCATAGTCGAACTACACACGTGTCCCCAAGCAGTGCATCATGCAGATTTGCATTGCTTTGAATTTTAGGTGAATGGCATTGTCTGCTATGTCCCCTTCTTCTGATCACGATTTTAGCGTTCGTCTGTGTTTAGCTACTTCCACCGTCAGTTACTCCTCACGACCGAGTATTTGTGTGAGTATGGCCCAGTTTAGTTGCGCTTGCTACCTGCAGTGGAGGCATGGACTGCCCCAGTGGTCAGCTATGCCCGCACACACGTGAGTGCACGCACACGCTGTACATGTGCACACACACACACACCTGCACATGTGTGCACATGTGCACACACACCCACACATGCATGCACACGCGTGCATACACGCACACACGTGTACACATGCACGCACACATGTGCTGCAGTGAACAGTCCACGAACGGAATTTCTGGGCCATGGCGAGTGTTTATGTCCAGTCTTACTGGCCTATTTCCAGATGTGCCATCTGCAGTCCCACCAGCAGCCTGTGCGAATGTTCCAGGACCCCAGAGTCTCATCCGGTCATTACTGCCAGTACCCTCGTCACTACGGCTTTGGCCCATCTGTGGGCAGGAGGTGATATCTTGCTGTTTTAATTGCATTTCCGTGATTACTAGTAGACACTTTCTCATAATCTTACTATTCATCCTACTTTCTCTAATATGCATGCCTTCTCCTGCATCTTTCTTTCTTTCTTTTTTAACTTCCGAAATGATGTCTCTTCCTGGGCCATCTCCGTATCTGCTGTTTACTCTTTGGTCACCGATGGTCTGTTTCTCTTCCCTCCTAACCCCACCTCTAACTCTTCCCTTGACCCAGATTCCTCCACCCCCTCCTCGCATCAGAGCTGCCGTCTTCTCCTGCAGGGCTCGGAAGCCCTCCCGGCGACAGCGGAGGGGCGAGGAGACGCCTGCATCGGGAGGAGAAATTACCTCCTTCCAGACAGAAATTGTCATCCCTCAGTGTGAGACAGAAAACCCAGCCACGGGGAAGAGTCGAATTGCATCTCTTCTGTGTGCTTCTCTCCCGCAGGCTGGGGAGCTGTGGCCTCACAGAGCTCACCTGCAAAAGCCTTGCCTCCTGTCTCAGGCGCAGTGAGAGGCCCACCCACCTGAGCTTGGCAGAAAACGCCTTGAAAGACGAAGGGGCCAGGCATATTCGGAACACCTTAGAACACTTGACGTGTCCTCTGCGGAGGCTGGTGTAAGTCCCAAGGTATTTTCTTCTTGGAACTCACTGAAGCAGAGCAGGGGGATTGAGAGAACCTGTCATGCATTCATTTATTAAGTGCCTGCTGCACGCTGGGCACTGTGCTGATGTGGGGGTAGGGGCGGAGCATAATAAAGAGGAGGGCTGCTATCACTTCCATCCAGAGGCAGATTATCCACTGTCAGAGTCCTCCGCTGTGTGCCAGTGCCCCAGAGTGAGCTCACAGAGGGGCTGCAGGGCGATTTCAATTTAGGGAATACTGACATCTGTTCATCACTGCAAGAACTTCTAGCTCGAGGTCATTCGTTACAGCGTGAGATTGTGGGCTAATTCCTTTTATATGACATCATGTGTTTGCAAAGCTAGGTTTGCAGCCATTGCTGTCATGGGAGCAAGTGCATCACGATATTTAATGAGGAGCAAAGATGATGTAAAGAAAAGAAAAGTACTGAGATGCTAAGAAGGGTGTGAACCGAGAAAGTCTGGAGACCTCTGATGGAATGTGCTCCCTGCCTCCTGGACATCCGAGTGAGCGCCACGCCTCTGAGATCAGAGTAATGCACTGGGACCTGGCTTCCTGCTCTGAGAAGCAGGTCATGTCGCTCACTCAACAGAATGGACCAGAAAACACTAAAGAACATCAGCTTGGGTATTTATCCCAACATATCATGAATTCTTCCAATAGTTTCCTTCAATTTCCTTGAAGTGTCAGGGTTCTTTTGTCCTTTATTAATGGGAAATAAACTCAAGCTGTCTTATGCTGTAAAGAAGTTTGCTGGCTCAGAAAACCACAGGGCAGAGGTAGAACAGCCTTTACGCTTGGTCCCCGGGACCTCTTCCAACAGGAGCACGTACAACAGGACGCCGCTACCAAGGGTCAATGCCAGGGGTGCCTTCACATTTGTCACAGTCACTCAGAATTCAGAGTTTAGAATGTGGCACTTTCCTTTTCATGATGTCATGTCTTTGGGGAGAACCTCAGTGTTCCCAGGTGAGTGAGTGGAGGTCACATGCCTGAGCCCTGATGGGCGGGGACAATGGCATCTCTACCTTCGCCATCCAAGGTGAGAGCTGAGCATCCGCCTCCTGACAAGACCTGTAACCCGCGACCCCGCAGCGTTTGTGCAGGAGACGGGTGCTGGGCAGCCTCGCAGAGCGGGCAGATGCTCGCCAGTCTAGACAGCCCGCCGGCCGCTCAGGTCACTCCTGAGCCACCTGTTTGCCTAGCTATGCCGTTCCCTTCCCCGCTTCTACCCGCTGCGTCCCAGGTGCATAACTGTCCCTCAGTGGGAAAAGCTCAGTTATCTATTAGGTTTTTCTGACCCAGTACCTTGAAATTCCTTTCAGGGGAAATTACACCTTGACTTTTTCCCCCTTATATCCAGAATATTTGAGTGAGCCGCTGTGTGATGAGAGTCCTGTCGTCCCTCAGAATGCTGGGGGTGTCAGGACCCCCACAGATACCAAAATCCCCAGATGTTCAAGTCCCTCATATAAAATGGCGTCATGTTTGCATATAACCTACGCACGTCCTCCTGTCTACTTTAAATCATGTCTAGATTCCTTATAATACCTGACACAGTGGAAGCGCTATGCCAGTAGTTGTTACACTGCATTTTACTTGTATTATTTTTCATTGCTTTCACCCGAATATCTTCCATCTGTGGTTGGTTGCAACAGTGGGAGCAGAGCCCACAGACACGGAGGGTGGACCGTGCTGTGGAACGGAGACAAACTGGTCTCCAGTTCCCAAGGAGCTCACGCTCCACAGCAGTGGCTTCCAGCCAAGAGCGCTTTTGCTCCCCAGGAGACATTTGGCAATGTCAGCAGATATTTTTGGTTGTCACAACTTGGGGGAGAGGAATGCTAGAGGCATCTAGTGGGAATAGGCCAGGGATATTGTTGAGCGCCCTACAATGTACAGGACAGGCCCCCAAGACAAAGAATTCAGCAGTGCGGCGAAGGAGAAAGGCCAGCCTCTTCCAGCTCCTCTGGTATCCGCCAATTAGGTGCCAGGAGCACCCTCTGAGTTGCTACTCTGATTTATTTTTAATTTTATTTTTTGAAATGCTTATCATGACCTACTTAATTGATTTCTAACTCATTAGACAGCCACAAATCACAACTACAAAAGCATCCAGCTTCAAGACGTGGGGTATAGGCACAACTGGTAATGGCAACTTAATGCAACAAGTGCTTCGGGAGGGAAGCCACAAGGTGCTGTTGTAACAGGTGGATGCCAAAGTAAGTGTCCTTCAAGTGAGGTTCGGGTGGGTAGGAGGTGGCAGCCTGGCAGCTATCATGTTGCCGCCCCGCCTCACCCGTTGCCTGGATCCTGAATCAGCTTCTCCTTTAGAAAAGTCTTCTCTGACCATGCTCCTCAAGGTGGCCCAGCCTCACCACACTCTACTAGCCCATCTTCCACCCTATTGCGCTGTTTGTTTCATGCTAAGTATTTGTCACAACCCACGGTGTACAGGAGCCATGAGAGCCAGTTGAGTCTCTTCCCAACTCTGCTTTTGGGAGTGTCATGTCACAGCATGAAATCAGCCGTGGTGGAAGTGTTCACACTACGGTAATTGGCAATCACTACAAACCAAGGCATTTGCTTGTTTGTTTGTTTGTTTGCTCCAGAGAGCTGGTTTACCAATGGAAATCAGAAACTCTAATGGGGGGACCCAGCAATCTGCACTTAACAGTTGTTTTAGGAAATATTCTTCCAGTTTAATACAAAATAAAGAAGAGTTTGTCAACTTTAGACTGATACTTAAGATGGTTGGTCTTATGAAATTGACTTGTATGCTTAGGGTTTATATATATACATATATATATGAAATTCTGTTTTCCTCTCCTGTTTGGTCTTTGTGCCAACATGCATAATAGCCAATGATACCATTCATCCTGTTTTTAATTCTTTGAGTAGTTGCCTTAAGTATTTGGAAAAGACTTGTAAACTGCTCTTCTCTGGTAGTCAGAGTGAAACTTATTTTCGCATTTTCTACCTACATTATTTTCTGTTCTCCATTAGCATAATCTGGATTTTGAATCTAGATCACTTAAATCATTTTGATATTACATCTTTCCTTACTAGGATTAGTTTTGTTTGCTTTTTTTTTGGTATGCATAAAATGTTTTATAACTATTTAAAATTTTATCAGAAAACAAGATTTTTTTCTTTTTTTTTTTTGAGTTGTGACAATTCTTTATTCTGGATTCAAGTTCTTTGTCGGATAAATATTATGCAAATGTGTTTTCCTATCTGTGACTTGAGTTTTCTTTTCTTTTTTATTTCAGAATATTATGGGGGTGCAAACATTTTGGTTTCGTATAATGCCCTTGCCTCGTGTTTGTTTTGTCGGTGGTCCGCTCCTCCAGAGCTCTTCAGGACTCGCTGTCAGTCACAATTCTTTCACTCCACAAGTTTAGTCTTGGGTCGTAAATGTCCGTTTATCTCTTAGAAGAGGCGAAAATGTTTTTCAGGTGTGAAAGAAATTTCCATCCTGGAAAGAAAATGTTTATGTCATATTCTCTCTAAGCCTTTGCTTATGTGAGATTATTGTTTTAAAATCTACTTCCACCCATAAGCAATAACTCGGCTCGGTATAAAATTCGTGGGCCCATCTGTCTTGGCCTGTTGTCTGTTGCTTATAACAGAATCCCTGAAACTGGATGACTTATAAAGAAAAGGAATTTATTCCTCACAGTTATGGAGGCTCGGAAGTCCAAGGGGCTTGGGGCGCTGCAGAGTCCTGGGAGGTGCAGGGCGCCATGTGAGAGGGGGCTCAGGTGCCAGCTCCGGCCTCTTCCTCCTCTTACAAAGCGCATCCCATGAGATCCAGTCCCATCCCAGTCCCATCTCATGAGAACCCACTCATCCATGGACCCATCAGCCTACGACTCGACTGTGACCCACTCACCTCTCAATACCACCACACTGGGGACTAAGTCTCACTATGACTTTTGGTGGGGACAGCTATTCAAACCATAGCCCCATCCCAAACTTCTTGATCTAACATTCCCTAGATTTTATTAATATTCTACGGAATTCTACTTTTGTAGAAAAACACCTACATTTTTCCCGGGGGGGGGGTTGGGGGGAAATGGGCTTGTATTGTTTATTCTCTTCCTTTAAAAAATATTCCTCACATACATGTAGGTCTTATTTATAATAAGCAGTAATTAATTTAAAGCAAATAACCAATTTAAATGATGTGTAATTTAAAACTGCTCTTTCTACTGTTAAAAGAAAATGATTTAAGCAACTCAAACAGAGGTAAAGTCTCTATTTATTACAGCTGCTCAGGTGGCACCTGAAGACCAGGCCCCTCCCTGATTGAGGCAAGGTCAAGATCTTGTTTTTATTTCAAAATATTGAGGGGGTACAAATGTTTTGTCACCTGGATACCTTGTATAATTTAATACCTAAGTCGGGGCTTTTAGTGTGCCCATCACCAGAATAGTGTTCACTGTGCTCGATAGGTAAGTTTGTGCCCCTGAGCCCCTCCCAGCCTCCCCTGTTCTTGGTTTCCAATGACCCTTATGTCTCTTTGTGCCTGTGTGCGCCCATCATTTAGCTCCCACCTATTGGTGAGAACACATGGCGTTTGGTTTCCCAGCCCTGAGACACTTCACTTAGGGTAATGGTCTCCAGTCCCATCCAAGTCGCCACAAACACATTATTTCATTCCTTTTTATGGCTGAGTAGTAGTCTGTGGTATGTACACACCACATTTTCTCCATCTGTTTATGAATTGATGGACACTTAGGTCAATTCTACATCTTTGCAACTGTGAATTGTGCTGTGATAAACATTCAAGCGCAAGTGTCTTTTTTGATAAAAATGACTTCATTTCCTTTGGGTAGATACCCAGCAGATGACCGTTTAGTCTTTGTTTTTGCTTCTGGTTATGTGGTGAATCACGTTTATTGATTTGCATATGTTGAACCATCCTTGCGGCCCTGGGATGAAACCCAGTTGATCCTGGTGAATTACCTTTTTCATGTGTTGTTGAATTCAGTGTGCTAGTATTCTATTTAGGATTTTTGCATCTGTGTTCATAAGGAATACTGGTCTGTAATTTCCTTTTTTTGTTGTGCCCTCTCCTGGCTTTGATATCAAGGTGATACTGGCTTTGTAAAATGAGTTAGCGAGGATTCCTTCCTTTTCAATATTATGCAATAATTTTACAGGATAGGTACCAGTTCTTCTTTTTAGGTCTGGTAGAATCCAGCTGTGAATCTATCTGCTCTGGGGCTTTTTTTTGTTGTTCTTGGGAGTTTTTATTATTATTAATGCTTCAATCTCAGTGCTCATTATTGGGATTTTCAGAATTTCTATTTCTCTCTGTTTCAGGCTTGGGAGGTTGCATGCTTCCATTTTCTCTCTGTTTTCTAGTTGGTGTGGATAGAGGCTTTCATAGTATTCACAGATAACATTTTGTATTTCTGTGGTATCAGTTATAATGTTTCATTTTTCACTTCTGATTGAACTTAGTTGAGTCCTTTCTCTTCTATCTCTGGTTAATCTGGCTAGTGGTCTATCAATTTTGTATATCTTTTCAAAGAACCAACTTTTGTTTCATTGATCTTTTGTATTGTTTTTTTGTTTCCATTTTGTTTAGCTCTTCTCTGAGCTTTGTTGTTTCTTCACTTCTGCTGGCTTTGGATTTGGTTTGCTCTTCTTCTTCTAGTTTCTTGAGCTATGACCTTAGGTTGTTAATTTGTGATCTTTCTGTCTTTTTGATGTAGGCCTTTAAGGGTATGAACTCTCCCCTTTGGACTGCTTTTACGGTATGCCATAGATTTTGAAAGCTCGTGCCCCCTTTGTCATTCAGTTTGAGGAATCTTTCGGTTTCCTTCTTTATTTTTTCCTAAAGAATTATCTGTTTGTATCCTTTATCTATTCCTTTATTTCAGCATAATAAGGGGGTACAAATGTTTTCCTTCTTAATCTCATCATTGACCCAAGGATCATTCAGCAGGTTGTTTAATTTACATGACCTTGTGAAGATTTGAGCATTTCTCTTGGTTTTGATTTCTAGTTTTATTCCACTGTGGTCTGAGAAGATTCATGGTATGATTTCATTTTTTTAATTGGCGGAGACTTCTTTTGTGCCCTAAGATGTGAGTAATCTTGGAAAATGTCCCATGTGCGGATAAGGTCAGGATTCTTACCAAGTATGGCAGAGTCAAGTACGCATCCTTGAAGTTGTGACTTAGGTAGCAGTTTCCAACTTTAACTACAGCTAACAGTCGGGGGTTGTTTGTGTTTGTGTGCCTCTTCCTCACAGGAATGAGTGCAATCCCGGTAGACATCAGGACAATGTTTTCCCAAGAACTATTTTTTTTCCAAACCTTGTTCTTTATTGACTAGTCAAGGTTATGGGGCAGGATACATAGATGGTGGAAAAGAAAGCAAAGAGGGGAAACATAGATGACCCTCTGGGTGTCTGCTTTGTACTGCTGGTAAGAGCCCTGCCCCCGGGAGACTCCACTCTCTGTCCAAGGACAGGGTCCAAGGCTGCCGGTTTCCATGCCTTCCCCCACCACACACACAGTGCAACACACAGCCCTTCTCTGCTGCAGCGTGATTGTTCACTTGTGGACCTTTGGCTCCCGTTTTACCGTGAGTGCTGTATGTGAGGGCAAAGTGACTTATTGCTAGAAGGATCCAAACACCTGGCCCATGAGGTTAGTGAACCCACGCTATCTAAATATATTGATGAGGTTACCTGCCTCCTCCCCCCCACCACAGTCAACCGTGAGTTCCAGGAAGCCAGGGACGGTGTCTGATTTGCTCACTGTTGTGTTGAGAATACACAGTATGGCGCCTGGCACGCAGGTAGTATAAATAAATATCTTTCAAGTGAGCAAAGATAAGTCATTACAATGAATTTTTGAAAGACACATTTGGCTCATAATTTCTTACAGTGAGGGCTTTCATAGCCTGATCTTGAAAATGACCCAACATACACCAAAAAACTGATGGACTGCAGGTACTTAGCACACATTTGGGGTGGAATCACTTGTTCCCGTCCGAGTGTGATTTCCAGGCTGTAAGCCACCGTGTTGGTTGGGCTCTCAGATACGGGATGTGGTGACTTTCCTGCTACCTGCTTCTGCCTTTCAGGCTGGAAGGTGCCTGTTTACCTCCGCCTGCTGCGAGACTATGGCCTCCACACTCCGCAGCAACAAAACCCTGAGCTCTCTGGTCTTGAGCAAGAATGACATTGGAGTCCACGGCATACTGACCTTGTGTGGGGCCTTCTCGAGCCAAAAGCAGAGAGAAGAGGTCATTTTGTAAGTCTCCGCTAGGTCCCTGTGCAAAAACGATCACCCAATAACAAAGGTCCTTCTAGAGAGTGGAATGCTGGACCTAGAATGCTGTTGAAGACGCTGCCACCGTATGCTTTCAGTGCCTGCGGTGCGCAGGTGCCTTGCTGTGGCTGCTCCAACCCCAACTCCTGCCTTCATCTGACAGAAACATTGACCTGAATTCTCCTGTCTGATGTTTTCTTTCTTTTCTTCTTCATCTTCATCTTTTCTTCATTATTGTTTGTTTTCTTCATCTTCACTTCTTGTTTTGAACAAGAGTTTGCTATTCCCACTGACCAGCTATATGGCTGTGAACAAGTTTGCCTACCTGAGCCTCAGTTTCCTCACCTGTAAAATTGGGGTGGCTTCTTCCCCCATGGGGATATTTCGTGAAGATGGAAAGAAAATGTACACGTAAGGCACTTAGCACAGTGCCAGACACTGTGTTATGTTCTCAACCAGTAGTGGATTTTGGGGAAAGGTTATAATTTTCCCAGCGTATTAGTTATCTATTGCTACATAACAAATTACCTCAATACTTAGTAATTTAAAACAACGAACACTTATTGTCTGACACAACTTCTGAGGGTCAGAAATACGGGAATGGTTTAACTGCGATTCTGGCTCCTGGTGTCCCGCGAGGTCTCAGTTACGCTGCTGGCCAGGGTTTGGTGGGGGCTGTCGAACCTGCCGCGTGGCCATGGGCAGGAGGCTCGGCTACTCTCCAGAAGGTTGCTCGTGACATGGCGGCCGGCTCCCTCCAAAACAAGGGACTGAGAGACATGGTGGCTGGGAGAGATGATGACGAGCCCAAAAACAGAGCACACTCTTTTGTGATTTGAATTTGAAAAAGTGACACCCAATCACTTCTTGCTTGTTGTGTCTTGTCACCACAGACCACCCTGGCCAGTGAGACAAAACATACAAGGTAATGAGAGCAGCAGGAGGTGGGATTTGAGGCCATACATGGAGGTGGGCCGCCAACACATTGGTGGTGAATGAGGACACTTTGAATCCAGGCCTGAGCTTCTTGAGAGCGCCCTGCGGTGCCCTTGATCCACCCCCCGGGCAGGGTGGGTATATCCGTCTGGATGTTTTGGTGGCCGGCTTTCATAGGACTGCAACATAAAACCAAACATAAGAGAACAAAAACCTGATTTTCTGTCCTTCCCAGGGAAGAAGAAAAGAGAGGCGGTGGGTGACATGCTGCCAGACTGAGGGCCCGGCTTGGTGAAGGGGACTTCCTGAAAGATCGTGCAGGACTGGAATCCTCGTGCTCTGCGGGAGCAGGAAGAGGGGAATTCGTCTGGTGGCACCCCCAGCCCGGACATTTTTCTTCCTGATGAAACACCGGGAACCGGCTGCCTGTTCTGTGGGCCATTCTGAGTCCGGGTGGCTCGGGCAACCTCTGGGAAGCAGCTCCCCAGAGCTACGAGCCAGTGTCTGGACACAGACCGGTCACTGAGTCAGGGCACCAAGGTGCGGGGTTCCAGCCCGTCTACTCCGGCCGCTAGAATGCCTCGAATATGTCAGTAAACATCTCCTCTGGGAAATGCCTGCCTCACCCCAAGTGTATTGGGAGACTTTAATTAAAAATGTGCATAAATGCAATTTGAAAAGTTTTCAAGTGTTATTTATTTACCAGTAGACTGGTACATGGCTGTTAGGGAAGAAGTGTGTGTGTGTGTGTGTGTGTGTGTGTGTGTGTTAACTTGTCTAGGGAAAGTGTCCACAGGAAATTTCCAAGGAAGACAATATAGGTGCTGAAAAAAGGAAATCACCTCTTGTTTAAGAAACTCTAAAACTGAAGGAGCTAACTAGTACATTCTTAAAGTAGTTGTGGAAGCATTTAGAACCCAGAGATCTAGAAAACAATCACAATGCTTTCTGGTTTTTCCCCCTTTTGTAACAGTCATCTTTTTCTACATAGTGTAACGATCAAGTTCCATCCGCCTGGCTTCTCCACTCTCGGAAGGGATTTTGTTCCAAGAGTCGTCGGGGTCCTCAGCCCCACATCCCTTTCTTAAGGGGTGGACACAACGAGCCCTGCAAGGTCAAACTCTGAGACGCGGACTTGAACACCTGGAGCGAATCCTGGGTGATGCTACAGCGATTCCCAGTGACGGAGGCGGAGCCGCCCAAGCCGCCGCTCGGGCCTGCAGGTTCAGAGGTGAACAGCGCCAGCCCAGGGAATCTGCCCAAGGACGTGTCCCCAAGGCCCCAAGGTGGGCCCGAGACGCCCACCTTGCTAAGGCAGTAACAGACTATGCCAGTGACAGCGTCCCTGGGATCACTGGGGAGAACAAGGCTGAAAATAGGACGGCGGTTTCCAGTCTTGGTGGCCCTCGTATGACATGGGGCTCTTTGAAAGCACTGTGGCTTCTCACGGGCTTGTCTTACCTAACGCAGTGCCCTCCAGGTGCATCTGTGTTGTCAAAAATGCTGGGATTTCCTTCTTTCATGAGGTTGAATAGCATTCCATTGTGTGTGTGTCTCTCACATTTTCTTTCTCCGTTCATCTGCTGGCCGACACTTGGGTTGACTCCACACCTTGGCCATTATGAACAGCGCTGCAATAAGCATGGGGGTGCAGATATGTCTTCACATACTGACTTCAGGGAGCACAAAGGAACTTTCTGAGATGACACAATGTCTGTCTCTAGTCAGGGATGTGGTTACATGGGTGCCCGCCTTTGTCAAATCTCTCTCAATCCTATGCATGAAACATATGCATTTCACTGTATGCAAACTTCCCTTTTTAAAAAAAGGAACAAGTAATGAATTTCAATTTAGTAGGTTTTCTTTTTACAGTATTATGGTTAGCAATTTTGAAACTACCTTCTGTGTGTTCTGGACTTGAAGAAATGAGTAACCACGTTGAAGAGTATTGAGAGCCAGCCTTCCCACTATCGGGGAATGGAATTACAAAGGCGGAAAGGAGGTTGAGTAGAAGGCACCCTGTGGTGGGTTGAGATCGAAGAAACTGGGCCAGTGTGGTGGCTCACACCTATAATTCTGGCACTTGGGGAGGCTGAGATGGGAGGATCACTTGAGGCCAGTAGTTCAAGACTGCATGTGTGGACTCATGATGGTAGACAGAGGGACATGAATGTGTGTACAGATGCACACACGTATTTCCTAGCTCTTTGTGCTACCTCTAGAAGCAATGGCATCATAGAAACAATAAGCACACTGGGCACCCCTGTATTGTTTTCTAAATATTAATATCATTCTTCACTAAAATGAACCAAAAATCTTTAGAAAAAGGGTTGATTCCCAGTTGGTGCTGGGCATGTACAACATGAGACTGGAACATCTTGTGCCAGAAAGTAGCAAAGTGCTTAAAGAATGATGGGACCAGCACTGGGGACAAGGAGACTGAAGAGTCGGCTCCCGCTCACCAAACCTGGGATGATTTAGCCATCAGAACAATGGTATGAATGGATTACCCTCAAATGAAAACCCATGAGTCTACAGTGACATAAATAATTTATATATTTAATTGTAGTTGAAATGGAAACGGATAAAGCTCTCCTTTATAATGGATTACCAACAACAAATGATACAAGTGAACAAATAAATGAACAAATGAAGTTAGAGAAGCCATCAGTAGGTGCTAAAACTGGGAGGTGGAAACTTCATGTACTTGTATAAATCTTTAAGTACCTCATCGAAGACTATGTATGAATTACAAAGGTAAAAATAGTGGAGAAACAGGGAAGATATTACCTTAAACAAGTAACGAAGTTAACATCACCAATAATGAGACAAAATGGTACCATGCACCTCCTGATATGTTGTGCTGAGAAAAACACATCACATCAGTAATACAAAAGATCAAGAACACAAGGAAAGTTGGAAGAACTATTCCAGACTGAGGGAGACCAAGCCAGGGGATGCGAAAAAATATTTGATAAAATTCAACATCAATTTGTAATTTTTAAAAACCTTTAGCAAACATATAACAGATGGCAACTTCCTTAATTTGAGAAAGAGCTTCTAAAAAATAACTGCTCACATCATATTTATTGGAGAATAGTAAAAACTCACCCCCTAAACTAAAAAAAGTGAGTCAAGGCAACTCACTGTCATGACTTCTATATAACATCATACTGAAAGTCCTAGTCAGTGCAACAAGGCATGAAAAGGAAATTATAAATATAAGATTGTAAAGATGGAAATAAAACTATCATTTTTACAACCAATGTGATTGCACACATAGTACCAGCAAAGAATAGACAAACATAGAATTAAGAAGTGAATTTAATAAGGTCCTCATGCACACATCAACTCTACACAAAGATAAAAGTTATTACTGTATGCTATTAGGAAGCAGTTTTTAAAAGGTTAACAAAAGTCCTCTTACACTAGTATTAAAAAACTCAAATAAGAATAAATTTAATAGAAGTGCAAGCTCTCTACACAAAGGACCCATGAATAACATTTTTAAAAATTAAAAATATCTAATAAATGAATACCAACTTCATGAATAATTAAGACTTAGTCAAAGATGATAATTTCCCTCAATTGTATCCATAGACTTACTGCAATCATCATAAAAATTCCCAAAGTACTTTCATGGAAATTTAGAAGCTAATTCTAAAATACACGTAGAAGTAAAAAGAGTTAAGAATAGCTAGCACAGTATGATACTTTCCATACATTTAAATAAAGCATAGAGAAATATATTAATGGAACAGAACAGAGTCCAGAAACAACTTCATAAATGTGATCACTTGATTTATGACAATCTGACATTGCAGAAGACTAGGGAAAAGAGGGTATTTTCAACAAATGGTGTTAAGTTGATTGGACATCCATATAAAAAAACGAAATCTTAATCCCTACTTCACACCATGTGCAAAATTAATTCCAAGTATCTTATAAATCTAAATATGAAAGGACAGACGCTATGCCTCCTAAAAGTTAACTTATCAGAAGACCTTAATGACCATAGATTTCTCAAATAGAATTTTTAAATCAATTCACCATAAAAGCATAAAAAATTGATACACTGAACTTCATCAAAAGTATAAACTTCTGTTTCTCAAAAGACACCATTAATGAAGTGAAAAGGCAAGTGGAAGATTAGGAGAAAATATCTGCAATGTACACATCTGATACAGAAATTGTATCCAGAATAAATATATCGAACATCTAGAAATTAAGAAGCAGACAACTCAATTTTTAAAAATAGACGGAAGGCTTAAACAGATACTTCATGTATCTGTGAAGTATCTGTTTATCTACTGAAATATCTGCAGGGCCAATAAACCCACAAAAAGGTACTACACTGATCATTGGCAAAAGCAAATTGAAACCAAAGTAAGATACCATTGCAAAACCACTGAAATAACTGACATTAGAAAGACTGACAATGTCAAATGATGGCAAGGACATGAAGCAATTGGAACACTCATATATTGCTCTTCAAGTGTCAATTGATACAGCCACCTGACAGTCTGTTAGAATGTAATAAATAAGTTGAAGATATCAATGATGGACCCACTAACAATTCATCTCCTAAGTATGTATGTAACAAATATACATACATACATACATTCAACAAAAGACACATAGAAGAATGTGTATCAGAGCATTATTCATATTACACAAAAGTGGAAACACTCCAAATGCCCAATATACAATGTATAAATAGGGATGCATTCATGCAAACACTACACAGCAGTGAAAATGAATGAAGTGCTGCAACTGCATCAGCATGAATCCATTTCACAGAGAGATGTGCAGTAAAAGAAGACAGACACCAAAGACTCTGCGATTGCTTTTATCTACATCCAAAAGCAGGTAAAACTATTGTGTGGTGGAGAAATCAGGACACTGGGTACATTTTCAGGTGGAGGTAGGGACATGAGATTGTGAGGGGCCATGACCACAATCCTCTATTTCCTGACCTTGATAGTCACTTTAAATTCATCAAACCATAAAAAAGTTATGATTTGCACACTTTTCTGATGTATTTATATGGACATAAAAGATTACCTTAAAATGTTAAATTGTTAATTGCAGAGTGATGAGGTTTTAAGTATGTTTTTTCTGCATTCTCCAATTTATCTGCAATGAACATAAAATCCTTTATTTTTAATGGTGCAAAACACACAAAATTTACTATCTTAACCACTTTTAAGTGCACAGTCCAGCAGTGTCACGTGCATTCCACTGTTGTGCCATCATCACCACCATCTATCTCCAGAACTTTTTCATCCTGAAAACCTAAAACTCTATACCAATTAAACACTAACTCCCTAGTTCCTTCTTCCTCTAGCCCCTAGCAAGAACTATCTACTTTCTGTCTCTGTGAATTTGATTTTTTTTCCCAAATACCTCATGTAAGTTGACTCATACAGTATTTTTTTGTGAGTGACAATTCATTTAGCATAACGTTATCAAGATTCATCCATGCTGTAATGTGTGTCAGAATTTCCTTCCTTTTCAAGGCTGAATACTATTCCATTGTATGTGTATACCACATTTTGTTTATCTGTTCTTCCATCAATGGACATTTAGGCTGCCTCCACCATTTTGCTACCTTAAATGATGCTTCTATGAACACGGGTGTGCAAATTACTTTTATAATAGAAAAATCTGTTTTTGAACCAGCAAGTACATTTGTATATCTTCCACATAATTGCATAAAGGCATGAAGGAAATATATCAAAATGTTTACAGTTGACACAGGAAGAGTTCTTAAAAAATAAAAAAAAAAAAATGTTTACAGCGATTTTCTCCAAGCTAAGAAATTGAAGTGACTTTTTTTCTTGTTTATACTGATTTTATATAAATTTTTCAAAAAAATTATATGGTACTTTTATAGTAGAAAAATACATTTTTCTTGTTTCACACCATTTGATCTATTAATCAATCCCTGTCTAAGTACTTATCTTGTGGAAGTATGACTAAAAGGAGACATTCCTTCAACTTTATTTAAAATAATGACAAATTTAAATTAATCTAAACATACAATAGGAAGATAATTAGGTCAAATAGTAGATCCATATGATAAAGTATTATGCATCATTAAAAATAATTTTCAATGGTAAAAGTTCTTATAATATGAAAAAACCTGATTCCAATGATATAAGTATAGATATAAAGACAGATATAGATTATATGTACACTTATTAAATTTTACATGCACATATATACACACATGTAAGATAAGGGGTACATATATGTATATGTTATGCATATACTGAAATGGGTG